AGGAAACCACGACACAATGCTGGGTCACCGCTGTAGCGCTGTGGCGGTGTCATATGAACAACATGAGCAGGAACGGGTACCGGAGTGGGAATGGGTTTGGGCACAGCAGCAGCAGCCTCCTGGACGGCAGGTTGCAAGTGTGCAGTACGAGCCAGTATGGTTTGTAAAGCTTGGGCAAACTGATCCATACGGTGGTCTAAACCATCCATTCTAGCCTCCTGATTAACTAGGAGCTGTGGTATGTCAGCAGGTTCCATTATGGCCCTGTTGTAATGTCACGATTCGGGGAACCAAACACGCCAACACACACACACACAAAGTGCCGTACCGGACCTTAGAGTGGCCGGGCTAAGCACACAAAGAATAGTCAGGAAACAAGCCGAGTAAAGGGGAACCAGAAGACAGAATAACGATAGACAAGCCGAGGTCAAAGGGTAGGAGAAAGTCACAAAGTCGGATAAACAAGCCAGAGAGTACGTAACCAGAAACACAAGTTCAGTATCAATACTAGCAGGTAAAGACCACAACAGGGCGAAGAGGAACAGGAAAGGTAAGTATATAAATCCAAAGGTTAATTCTGATTGTATAATTTCCAATCAGAATTAACAATCACACGTGGGAGATATCTAAACCTCCCACTGTGATTGAGGCACTGTGCCTTTAACGCCGGGTCAGGTGACTGACCCCAGCGTTTGTTAAAATGGGCGGTCTCCCAGCGTGCAGCGTCATGCATGCTGCTGCTGGGGGACACAGAGGAAGAGGCGGACGGCACCCGTGGGAGAGAGGATGCCGCCCACCGAGCGCACGTCTGGAAGGGGACCGCGGACGGCTGGAGGGTGAGTGCCACGAGCGGACTGCAGCCTCCCCTCGCAGCTGCCCGCGGGACCCTGACAGCCCCATGCAAGCAGAACAAACAAAATGCCCAAAGACCTACCTCTGTTACCCTCTCAGGTCCTCTCTACTAAACTAGGGAAACCCCTGTACATGTGCTACAATGCCCTCCTGGAAGGTCAATTAGGTGAAGCAAGATCATATATGACACAATGGGAGGGAGAGCTAGACAACCAACTAACATTGGCACAATGGTATGAGGCGATAACAATCACAAAGAGTGCTTCCAAGAGCCTCTCGCTATGGGAGGCATACTGCAAAATAGCCATGAGATGGTACCTAGTACCGCACAAATTAGCGCGCATTTACAAGGGTTCCTCCGGGCTATGCTGGCGTTGTGAGGGGGGTGAGGGTACCATGCTGCACATGTTTTGGACATGCCAGGCACTAGGTACATTCTGGAAACAGATACAAAGCCTTGTTGCGAACACTACCGGCCTCCTAATCCAGCTGAGACCAGAACATTACCTGCTACATATGATACCCGGGCTCTCACTGCACCCCCACAAAACAGTGCTAATAAACATACTTACAGTAGCAAAAATTCTTCTAGCCCAAAACTGGAAGAGCAAAGCGGTACCCACCATAGTGGCACTCATAGAGAGAATGGATGTCATAAGCTCTTATGAACGTATGGCCAGCAGAGTCCAGGGTCAGGGGACTAAATATGACAAAGAATGGGCAAGCTGGAACTGTAAGCCATAAGTCCAGTAACTAGTATAATACCCCATGCATCAGGACATACCGGCCACAAACCGGACCGTCAAACTGTTATTATAGTACCCAAGGACAGGCTAAGAATGGTTAGAGAACGCTAAATAGTAGGTGCAAGCACTGGGTAGCAAGGCTGGGGACTCTAAGTTATCCCCTTTCATCCCCCCCTTATGTTCCTGTTCCCCCCAAATACTGCCAACGCATTACCGATTGTACAAAGTCCGAGCCTCGGTATGAGGCCGAACCAGTTCAGGAGCAAATAACTATCCTATATTTGTTTGGAATGAGTGTACAATAACAGTTTCATGATGTATAAAACGTACCAAGCGTAAGACCGCAATGTCCGCACTGCATTGTCATGTAAACCTAGTGTACACAAAACTGAATGTAATGTATGCTTGTTCATGCTGTTGGCATAATAAAGACTATAGATGGAAAAAAAAAGAAATGGGTATCTTATTGATCAATTCCTCCTCCAATCTGACATGCCGTTAATCCTCATGTGTAACAGGTTTTACAGTCCGAAGAGCCCTTATAACGCCAGGTCGTTTAGCTCCATTTAGTTTAATGCCATTTGGACTTACATTTTAGAAGACTGCGTGTTGTGTCTACTGACCCAAATTGATGAAGAGGTATATTGTTCAATGAATGTGAGTATAGAGATAGTGAACACTCGGAGACAAATGCATGTTGTTGTTAAAAAAAAAACAAAAAAAAAAACAAACTTTTAAATACATTTCTGGTCATTCCAAATAAAGTGAAGGAAATACCTCAAATTCCTATACATGGGAACTTTTACATAAGCACGTTTTAGGTAGATTTTTGCAATCTAGTTTTTTATTTGCAGAATGATTTATAAAAAGAATGAAAATGTTAAAAAATATATATATTATATAGTTATGTGTTTGCAAAAAGTATGGAGACCATACATCTAAGGGATTCTGGACTTCGAGGTTGTAAAGATTGTAGATCTATCAGATTATATATCAGTAAATTGAATTTTTATGTAAATAGGGCATAGAATAAAATACATGAGTAATGAACAACAATGTGCCCATCATAAGTTAAATAAACAAAATGTACATTAATAGCAAAACCAGAGCTCAATAGAAGGCATCTTTTCAGGAGAAATGCCATAGCAGTGTGAGGTGTACCTTGGTAGTACAGCACATTGGGTGTGGTAAGGAGGGAGCGAAGGCTCCATTTGTGGAACAGGTATTATTCATTTCTTTTCATGTTGAACATTGCATGAGGTTGTAGAGGGAAATGTCCATCAGGACTATAATGATTGATTTCCTAAATTAAATTTCACAAAATGGAATAGAGAAACAAATGCACAACCACTATGAACTTAAATCTCACACCACAAACAGTAATGTGAAAGAATTCAATTTAGTAATTTCCAAAGTAATGAAATTTCGATTTACCTTCTGAATTGCCTTTGCATGCCTTTACATACCCTTTATTTTAGTAACAAGTCCTATGACAAGTGGTATCAAAGCCCTGTGGTTTTTAATAGAAATCATTAAAGGAATTATCCTGGAGTGCTCTGACAGGGCAGTGGCGCTCATCAATAAATTAGCAAACACTTTTAAATAGTATGGGGATAAATATAAGCATTAGGTAATGGCAAAGGATCTCAGAATTAAACGAGATTGTGGTCTGCTGCTCTACTGAGGAAAATAACCTTCATTTTACATTTTAAATGATGTCTCCTTGGAGACAGGAGATGCAACAAGTGCCAATGCTTCATGCTGATCACTCATTTACTTCCCTAAACCTGCCAGCAATATTCACAGTTTATTTTCAATAACCACTGATAGCTCTACTGCTTTCTTTAAATTAATAACTGTGTATTGTGTGAAACTGAAAAAGACAATTCAAGATTCTGCATCAGGTTTTGTGCAAATAACTTCCCTATCATATATCAATTTCAGATATTGGGAAAACTTGAATGTATATAATGTAAGTAAAAGAGTGACACTTGATGGCACCCCTTGCCATGTTATATATTGCTATGCACAAACAAGATGTTTTACCTGTTTCCATCATGTTTATGTCCCCTTTATATTTTTTTAAATTCTTTATTTTTGCAGAGCATGGAATGTCATACAGGCTCTCACAGACATGACATCAGAGTATTCATAACAATATAGAGAAACGTACATTTAACATGAAATGTCAAGAAAAAATGCCATAATATAATAATAATTATATATATATATAATATAGTAAAACAAAAACGAGTAGACAAAGAGAACTGTGTGATGTTAGTAGTCTGCACTTCTAAAATCCATGTCCAGATGTTAATTTATGGAACATGTAACATTGAGGAAAACTAAAATGTTACTAAGTGCTAATTAATGGAATCTGATTAATTGTAATTGAAACACATCAATTAGTATACATGATTAGAAACAAACTTATTTTAAAGGGATAATAAACTCTATATGGTGTGTATTCTCTTAACAGGGTAAATATTTAATCTACTCACAATTTCCCATTCATTTCAAAAGAGGAATTGCTCTTAAAGGGGGAAATGAAATTTCTCTCAAATTTACATAATTAAATAAAACATTGAAAATCAGCTATAACATTTTTTCATGCTAAGCTCTATTTTATTTTAAATTTATATTAAAGATTTACCAAATACAAATTATGATCAGTTCAGACGAGGCAAAGTCAGGTGTAGACACAAATATGTACTACTATTCCCCTTTATTGATGCACCATTAAAACAAACAGTAGTAGTTTTTTTTCATATTGTATTAAGAAAATAATGCTTAAATAAGTTTATTATTCCACAATTCTAGGAGAACCACCGGACTTTAGCATGGAAGCCGCACTCTTGCACTTCACCAAAGGAACTTTAACTCAATATAAGCAATCGATACTACGACACCTGCTAAATGCAGCCAAAGCACTGATCCCGGCCAGGTGGAAACAAACCCAACCACCCACTAAGGTCGAGTGGCTCCAGAGAGTAGAGGAGATCCACACAGCCGACATGCTCGGGAGAAGCAACAAACATGTCGAACTCTGGAGACCGTGTGTAACGGATCGCCTGGCACCCCGACTGAGTACCTCCGTTAAAGGATGCTCCTAGCGTTTCCTGAGGACTCCAAGCACTCTGGCAGACACCACAATCACCGAACCGGAGAAACAAATAAATTCTCCCAAGCATATGAATGCTGTACACAGTTGAATAGGAACCATACGAATAGGTTTACTCTCCTAGCAGTCAAACTGGAACAGCATACAATAAATCCTTCCCCCAATAATGAGACGACACTTCACTTTGAGGGTTAAACAGGAACTCCCTGTACTGGCACATACAGCCTCTTTTATTCACAATCCACAAAACATAGTACTGCCCACAGGGTTTTGCAGAACCACCAATAAACACATTACAACACATACAATGCAAGTACAGCAGCCAATCAGACACAATGGGAAAATAGAAACACACCCAGCATATTCCTCCCTTCTGCTTAGGAGATAATTGAGTCAATTACTGTATCTACTCAATTATCTCCAAGCTGAAAAGTTACTTTTTGTACATTTTTATAACTTTGTGAGTTAACATCGTACATACATAAAACTTATATTATTTTAACCAGTATAACTTGGGGACAAACATATCCAAAATTCACTTGAATAGGTTCAGGGGTTTAACGGTTAGGTCGAAGTCCTTTGTTTTCACTTGTAAGCATGATTTTTCCTGGCAAACCAGTTCCCACTGGTTTGGCAGTGTCCCTGGGACAACACCCTGCTGGAGAACAATGGATCCGGGGGAGGGGAAGAGGAAGTGTCCAAAAAGTTTCAGTATGTCCATACACTGTTTTTAAAAAGGCCAGCACAGTACAATAAAAGTCCATTCACTGTGCTTAAAGGGCCAGTAGCCGCACAATAAAATACAATATGCCCAAATATTGCATTCAAAAGTACAACTTTACCAGGGGCCATAGTCAGCAGGTAGGAGGCGGGCAGCCAGGCCTCTCCAATGCCAGGTGGCGAGGCGGGTTCCGCCACACCGTGGTACACATATATTTCACAAACGAGAGCGTAGGAAGGAGGGCGACAGGAAATCTAGTCAGCGAGATGCCTGCGCATACCTCGCCACCCTTTCCCGCCCTTAGCATACTAACACTAGACGACGCACTAGATGCACACCACACCATTGCTCACACCCTGTTGCTGCCCCCCCACCCCTGAGCAGAGCCGGGAGCCACACAACGAATTACGGAAGTCACGTGGTAATGCCACACGAGGCCACCATACACCCACACAGAAATCGGAGACACATATACCACCACACAGACCAGAAGAGACGATCCCATGATGTGGATCACATCTAGCCAGGGAAGCAACCTCATGACAAACCTACAACCGTAGACAAGAGCAACATTAGGACACCACACTGCCCCGCCCGAGATGAGGATGACACCCACAACATACGGTAAGAACCTAACACAGTAAAGAGACGGGTAAACCAACCGAACACAGACAGACACGGAAGCACAGCCACCACTACAGATAAACACATTGACCAACCACTTGCATAACGTCATAGACTCGTAAACAATGGATAGATACAAACGCAGCAAACAGCAGAAGGAACCCCAGAAGTGCCCTGACTGGACCACCTGGGATTAGATTACACCAGGGGGATGGTGGAAGGAAAAGGGTGACTTCGCCCTGATGCTATACTATACGGACCCACACCCCAAGACTGAGACAGGGGCCACAATAGACCAAATTCAGCCTCTATAGAGAGACGAATAGAAATAACTGTATGCACGCACCAGAGTATTCACAATTTCCAGGTGACGTTTCCATAGCATTATAGACGGACGCGAAGAGACAAACGAGGCTAACCATACTCTAACCTCGGGGACCACTAGGGGGCAGGAGCAAAGTATGGCTAGAATGCAGAGCACGGACCATGCCAGATTACCTGACCTAACGTGGTTATGCGCTCTTATCTCTTCCCCACCGATAGTTGAACCTAAAGCAATACAATACCCAATACAAAGCAGTCATAAGATGATAAAACAAAGGACCTTTGAGTCCACATCTACTGCAGGCTTGCGTGCCCAGTTTTCATGACGCGTTACTCAAAGTTATACTTAGCACATGTTGTGCTACCATTGCCATAATTACTATGCCAGTAGAGACCTGCGAGTCTCATTGAAACCGGTTATTGATTGAAATGCAAATAAAAACCATATTTACAAAAAAAATTAAGTTTATTATTGTTGTGTTTTAACAGAATGAACTTGCACCATCAAATCACTTTTATTTATTATTTTTTTCATTTTGTGCAGGTTTAAATGTCCTTGAAAACATATAGGTTGTTGGAATTCATTCTCTAGTTGCATTCAATAGACATATATCACAGTGGAACAGTGCATAAGGTTTTTGAATTATGTTCTCAACTGGTTTCAAACATGACCTGTTTAGATGAGACTAAATGTGTTCATACAAGCTTTATCTTCCTGTTACATTACCAAATATATATTTTTTGGGAATCTCAGTATGGTTTCTTTGTCCAGATGCATATACCGCTAGGAAGCCTCAGTATTTTTTTCTTGAAGTAGTTCTGCTTTGTCAGCAACTAACCTTGATATATAATTAAGCATTCAAATAATGGATTCCAGTTCTTTCATAGAGTGAGCAGGATTCACACATTCCATTGATATTATTTTCTATCTTTAAAGGCTTGTTGTGTCAAAAGAAATTAAAAGCTTTTGTATGCTGTCCATGTTCAATTTCATATACTTTTCATTTCAACACATCTGTGTTCTTTCATTGTGCTCATCAATAGCAGACTCACACGCCAGTAGGTCAGCAATGATCACTTTAATACAGTCTAACTTATAATGGTTTAGTGTGCTTTCTTAATAATTTTTCATCTGAGTGGAACTATTATTATTATATTAGTGAAATGTCACATTATAAATGTTGTGTGGCATTTCTGCAGATAAATCAATAAAATATATATGTATTTCCTTTTTTTTTTTTTTAACTTTCTCCTTCACTCAATATAGTGTAGAGTAGTATTAAAGATTGACTAGACAAGAATTTCTCCAATTCAACTACTGTGTAGTGATGTCCCCAACGGTTCGCTGAACAGTTCGCCACGGACTCATCATTGAGTAAACTTTGACCCTGTACCTCACAGTCAGCAGACACATTCCAGCCAATCAGCAGCAGACCCTCCCTCCCAGACCCTCCCACCTCCTGGACAGCACATTTCACATTCATTGTGAAGCTGCATTCTTAGTGAGCTGTCCAGGAGGTGGGAGGGTCTGGGAGGGAGGGTCTGCTGCTGATTGGCTGGAATGTGTCTGCTGACTGTGAGGTACAGGGTCAAAGTTTACTCAATGATGAGTCTGCGGTGAACCGTTCGGCGAACTGTTCGGGACATCACTACTACTGTGACATTGAATTTAGCAAACGTATAGATTTATGAAGTTAACATTCAATAGTCAGAAATGTATTAATTAATTTGGGGGGTTGTACCCACACACACTTTCAAGGTTATTTATTTCAGTGAGAATATTTGAGGTATTTAAAGTGAATTCAAAATGAGTTTTACATTTGAAGCCAACATATCCAACGGAAAAATATCCAAGCTGACTTGGAGAATATTTCCAGTTTAGCTATTTTGGTCTTAAAGGACCACTCTATGCTCTATAACACCTTCATTGCAGTGAAGTTGTTATGGTGTGAGGAGATCTAGACACTGTCTTACTTTGAGGGGTTATACCATTACCCATTGGTTAAACCCCAAACTTTAGAAGACAGCAACTGAATGCTCTGCTCAGCTTTCTTTGTCCGATTGTCATTCAGGAAGTCTTGCAGTGGGCTCTGCTGGTCACTTGCTCCTAATTCTGAAAACCAAATGAAGAAGATATTTACTTGGTCTTTTACTTGGTTTTCTGAACACTATATATTGACTAATTTTTATCATGCAATTATGCACTGTTGAGAAACATTATTGTTTTCCTTGGTGATTTATAGGATTGTGCATGTTGCAAATTTACAGTTTTGAAACTTTTTGGTTCTGAAGAATTTTGATTAAAAATATTTCAGAGCAATTTTAAACTACAGGTTGGTTTGAAACATTTTGAATCTATACGAAAATAGCCAGGCAAACACTATAATGAAAGAAAAAATGGTGCCTAAAATAAAACACTAATAAAAAATAAAAAAACTCTTAAATTGTAATTCAAGTGGCAGTGACTACCAGATTCGTGCGCAACCAACATTTTTCGGTTCTTCAAAATTGATATGGTTCTGATTTTCTAAAATTTCCGATTGTGGAAATTTTGGTCGAAGTTCAATTCAAAATTCTGGGATGCAAAAGGAAACAGAATTCTGCCAAATTTGTATTCTGACTGATCCGAATATCCAAGTCTAGTAACTGATGATCAACAGCCTATGATCAAAATATATAGAGTTTCTTATACCCAGTGACTAATACAAACCGTTTACTGTATAAATACTACATACATTTATTTAAATTAATTACATCCTTTTTAACTCAATATGTTCTCCTTACATAATATAACAAATTTCAGGTTCATGTTGAAGGCATCATCTTGTATAGACATTTCTAAATAGCATCTGTTTGAATGATCTCACGTGCCCTTGTCACTGTTCTGGCCTTGGGTAAAATCATCCTACCAATGTTAACATAAGGCTCTGGCATATGCTGTTGTCTTCAACAAGTACAAACCAATATAAAAAAAATGCATGTTTTCTTTAATTCCAGGTAAAGTTTCTATCTACATCATTAGATTTCCTTGCAGAATGTAATTTATTAAACACACAATGTTTTTGTATTATTCTTGGACTTTTCACCATCACAGAAGCAATAATAATAATAATAATAATAATAATAAAAACACTGTAAGCTTCTGTAAATTCAACATTTAAAATTGTTTGAAATGCCTATTCAGAAAAAGTATAGGCAAAATCAAGATTTTATTTTAAAATAAGAATGCACAAATCAAAAATGAAAACACAACTGACAAATTATGAAAGACAACCTTCAAGCTTCTCAACCATAAATCTTCATGCACCTCCCACCAGGTATGTCAACCTCCACACTAAAATTTGTAAAAAAAAATAATATATATTGTTAGAATTGTATCCTCAGTTCTCCTCTGCTCACTCTCAAGCTTAGCATAGCAGCATATTTTTTCGTCTTGGCGTGTTACCACAAGTAGTCTATCAAATAGACCTGGTATTGATAAACAGTCCAAAAAGGTAATCTCCGTACACACTCTGCCATATATGTTTAACCATGTAAACATGAGACTTTTGGTTAAGCCTCACAATTTATATATGAAATGCTTTTAGTTTTTGTTATGGTGTTTATATTAAATAACAGTGTTACACCATTCACTATGTTTTTGTTAATTCTTAATGTGCTATAATTTCACTTTGGTGATTGACTACATTGTCAAAGTGTACCACTGGAAACAATATATTTTACTACCACATCACATAGAAGGAGCTGCTTAATATAAACTCATTTTTGGCTTAGTGACCTGTGTTATCAGAGTTGGTCTGTAACGTGGTTTTTGTTTATGTACCATGTTTGAAAATGCTTGATAAAATAATTCTTGCCAGGTATAATCATTATGTAGATACTTTTTCCCTGATTGTGCACCATAATCAAATGCTTTCCCTTTGAATGCACCCATAAATATGATGTATCTTTTATTTTCACAGATTTGCTTACCACAATTTCTATGCAACAAGTGCAACAAAAGAAAAATAACTCATAATATACAAAGTTATTCATCTTGCTTGCTACAATGCCTCATATGTGTACGATTTCAATTAATTTTTGGAAGTTAGAAGGCAAATATTGCAAGGATTGAATTGCTTTACTAAAGCTAAACCTTTGTAAACGTCCCATTTTTGTGTAGTGATTTTCACAGAATGCAAAACCACTACAAAAAAATATATTATTTGTTGAAAATAGTCCCCCAAGGGTATATAACTTAGATTATGCTATTCTTTTACTTATTTTATCACCAAGCTCTGCCAAAACTGCTGGTTATTGGATATGTTTTGTGTTTTTTAAGTTGTTTAATTGTTGTGGGGAATTTTACAGACTGTGTGTCTCATTACTAGAAGGACCTCAGATTCATACTCTACTACTACTGTTATAAGGAAAGCAATAACCTGCATATAGACATTTGCCAGATGTGCTACTTCTACTTTTTAGTAGATTTGCACCTAGGCAACTGACAGCTATGGCGTGTAATCATTCATTGTCTCTCAGGGTGATTTGACAGTCTAGGAGTCAAAAAATCACTATAACTAGACTGTTTTACTTATGATGTAGCCAAAGATAGCCTGATACATTCAAATCACAGTCTGAGTATAGTATAGTATTTAAAACAGGGGAGGTATGTAATAAAATGTACTAGTGGCTTATGATATTTAGTGTATACTTGCTAATGAAAGGAGACAAAATTACAAAATGGGGGAACTAGAGGCAATAGAATACACTCAACAATAAGGCATAATTGAAAAATGATAGGATGAAACATATGGCTGGGTATTTAACTTAAATGGTTACACATTATATAGAAAGGATAGGAAAGATGGAGGGGTATGTTTCTATCTCAACTATGAGTTAAAACCAAATATTAAACAAATGTTATGTGATAATCAAAATGTGCGAGCCTTATGAACTTAGTTAGATATCTGCTTGGGGTAAAAGAAAGGAATCAATTATTGGTTGGACTATACTACAAACTACCTAATATTGATATTGCTATGGACGATCAGCTGTTAGAGCAAATTAGGAAAGCTGCATTTCTGGGTACCACCAATGATTGGACATTTAATTACCCGGACATAAATTGAGATAGCGGTACTATTATCTTTACTAGAGAAATCACGTTTGAGCCTATTAAATGATACCTTCATGTCACAGTTGGTAGAAGCATCAACTAGTAAGGATGATTATCTGGATTTGGTTATAACAAACAATATTGATAATCTGTCAAACATTCAAGTAAAGGAGCACTTGGGAAATAGTGATGACAATATTGGGTCTTTTGAAATAAACTCAAAAATGTAAGTGCACATTGGGAATGCTGAACTATATAATGTAAAATAAGACAAATTTCAATAAGACATCCTCAATGCAATTAGATCTAATGAAGAAATCAAAGGCAACCATCCCCCAACTGTCACCGCAAAATTGCCGCCTATGCGGATAACTTATTTTTCATTATTAAAAGCTTAGTTAACTATTAAAATCAACTAATCCAAATCAGAAATATTAAACCTCTTGTTTGGCATTGAGTTGTCCTTGGAACTGCAAAACAAATATTGTTTAAAACCAATGCCATCAACTACCCCCTTTCCTACATCAAATCACAAAAGATCTCCAGAAGTGGTCCCTACCCCATATTGCATGGTTAAAGGACCACTCTAGGCACTCAGACCACTTCAGCTTAATGAAGTGGTCTGGGTGCCAGGTCCAGCTAGGGTTAACCCATTTTTTCATAATTATAGCAGTTTCAGAGAAACTGCTATAATTATGAATGGGTTAAGCCTTCCCCCCTAATCCTCTAGTGGCTGTCTCATTGACAGCCACTAGAGGCGCTTGCGTGCTTCTCACTGTGATTTTCAGTGAGAGCACGCAAGCGTCCATAGGAAAGCATTGTAAATGCTTTCCTATGCGACGGGCTGAATGCGCGCGCAGCTCATGCCGCGCGTGCGCATTCAGCCGGCGGGGAGGATCGGAGGCGGAGAGGAGGAGGAGAGCTCTCCGCCCAGCGCTGGAAAAAGGTAAGTTATTACCCCTCTCCTCCTTCCAGAGCCGGGCGGGAGGGGGACCCTGAGGGTGGGGGCACCCTCAGGGAACTATAGTGCCAGGAAAACGAGTATGTTTTCCTGGCACTATAGTGGTCCTTTAAGTCAGATGCAAGTTCTCAAAAGAAACAACCTCTCTCATATGCTGTACCTACTGTTGGCTCTGGCAATCCTAATTCCCCGTCAATTCTTTTCCCAAATTTAAAGCACCTTCACCACCTATGTTTGACACAACAAATCAATAGTAAAGAGAAAAAGGGGATTGGGGGCACTCCCGGAACTCACATTTCTCAGCAATGGTGCAGCCTTAGACATCAAATTGTATATGCCGTCCTTAAGGGGCCGGTCCTAAAAGCTGCTGAGCGGCATAGAACATCCACGCCGTCCTTTATACTTACCGGGTCCCCGTCGGCAGTTGCAATCCTAATGACTGCCTGAGAGCCAAAGCAGTCCCCCTCTGGCAGATAAAGCCCCCCTTGGGCCATGTGATTGCGGGGTCCTT